GTCTCTCCCATTCCCCAGCCAAAGTTTTGGTGTTTGCCCCAGACACCCCAGGAAACCACAGCAATTACAGCAATTAATATCAATCCCCATCTCTGCACACATATATTAAAGCACTCATCCTCCTGGATGCATTTGCAGGGTTTTTCCATGCATGGTCAGGGGACTCTGGAAGGACATCAGACGGATATTTCCTGACCAAGCCACCCCAGCACCTCTGGCTGCTGAGGTCAGAGCAGCCTGGGAATGAGGTCACATTAACACTTTGGGAAGTAAACAGGGCTGAAACACCCAAACCCAACCAGGGAATTTTCTCCAGAGTGGGGATGATGCAGCCCTGCTGCTGTGGGGACTTTCCAGGCTTTCCAGGAAAGCTGAACTGTGCATTCCCGTGGCGGGATGAAAACCTTGGTCCCACCACACACACAGCAGGTCCTCAGCACAGGGACACCAGCTCTGGAACTTCCCCAACCTGCCTCAAAACATGCCCAGCATCACATCCCCAAAATGTTTTCCTCTCTCCCAGCATCCCCCCCTTGCTGGACTTTTGACCCCAAGGTGGGAGATGAGTTTTTGGGGACCTTGGGAAGCACAGAGGAAAGGGCAGCACACATAAATATGCTGCTCTCTCCCAGCTCCAGTGATCGCCTGAAATCAGTGGAAAACATCCCTGGAATTTAGGGCTGCACCCTAAAACAAAAGATGGAGCTACAAGGAACCTATAGAAACATGCAGAAACGTAGAAACATGCAGAAACGTGTTGGAAATGTATAGAAACATGTAGAAACCTGCAGAAACATGCTGGAAACATACAGAATTGTGCTTAAAACATAAAAACTTGTTGAAAGTTACAGAAATAGAAACATATATATATATAAAACACTTTATGTATATATATAACATATATATATATATAACATATGTAACATTTATATAGAAACATGTTAGAAACATATAGAAACAGAAACACAGAAACATGCTAGGAACATATGGAAACAGAAACATAGAAACATGTTAGGAACATATGGAAACAGAAACATAGAAACATATTAGAGACATATAGAAGCAGAAACACGGAAAGATGTTAGAAACATATGGAAACAGAAACATAGAAACGTTAGAAACATATGGAAACAGAAACATAGAAACATATTAGAGACATATAGAAGCAGAAACACGGAAAGATGTTAGAAACTTATGGAAACAGAAACATAGAAACATGTTAGAGACATTTAGCAACAGAAACATGGAAACATGTTAGAAACACATGGAAACAGAAACATAGAAACATGTTAGAGATGGAAACATGTTAGAAACACATGGAAACAGAAACATAGAAACATGTTAGAGACATATAGAAGCATGTTAGAAATATATAGAAATATGTAGGAACATACAGGAATGTATAGGAACATAGAAACATATAGGGACACTTAGGGACATATAGAAACATGTGGAAACGCATGAAAACACACAGAAATAGAGCCGGCAGCAGCCTGTCTTCCCCTGCCCTCCCACTGCTCGGGGCTTTTCCGTGCCCGGGAACAATCCCGGGCTGGGAAGGGGCCGTGTTTTGCTCGCCCTGTTCCCGAACTCCGCAGTTTCTGTACCAGCTGCTCCGGCTTGTGACCGTGGGTTGCTCAAGAGCAACAACCCGGGGCCGCCAGCGGGGTTTGTTTACTAGAAAATTAAGGTTACGATTCCCTCCCGGGGCCGGGAGAAGGAAGGGCTCTGGGAAGGGGACACAGGCAGCGCTGTTTGCCCACGGTGCCGTGTTCGGGGTGTCAGGAGCCGAGGATGAGCCCCATGCTGACCCCGGGCAGGGGAGCCCAGCCTGGCACGCTAACACCGCGGAACACAAGCAGCAGTGGGAAATGCCTGACTCATGGATGTTTCTGCCTGCCCCGGCCGAAGGAAACCCACCAAGCAGATGGCTTGGCCGGAAAAAGAGGAAAGAAAACAAAACAAAAACCCAGCGAAACGGTGGAGAGAAAGAAAAGCAGTGTCCCGAGGTGCGGGGAGGGTGGTGGGTGCTCTGCTCGGGGCGGGATGGGGCTGGGGGATGTGAGAGCCTGATGGGGCAGAGAGCGACATCCCATCTCCAAACCAGCACACTCACCCCAAACTCCGGGGTAATGGGGACCCCAGCCCACCCCCGCAGCAATTTTGGGAGAATTTGATTTTTTTGAAAGTAAAAAAATAGCGCTGGGGTGTGTTCAAGCCCAGGGCAGCAGGCAGGGAAAGGCTAGGGTGGATGGAATGCTGCCCGTGCCCCCTCGGTGGGCAGTGAGGGCTTTGTGGGGCATCCCCTGCCGTGTCCCCGGGGACTGGGACCCCCCCACGCTGCCAGGTTACCTCGCTGCCTCTGCCAGGCACCCACGAATGGCCCTAGGCGTCCCGCCAGCTCACACTTCTGTGCCCAGGGGCCATTGTCACCTGCAAGAGAAAGAAATGTCCCCATCAGAGACACCAGGACCACAGGGGACGCCGCCACAGTGCGGGTGGGGGGGGACACAAGGACAAGTGACCCTTCCATCCCTCTTTGCCACCCCTGTGATGCCTCTCCACACGAGCAAGAGCAGCTGGTTGATGGATTTTGGTTTTTAGCAGTTTGTTTGCAGGGGCTGGAGTGCAGCCAGGTCAGGGCAGGGGGGGCACGGGCACCACCAGCTTTGGGTGTTAATGAGCGGCCGAGCGGTTCCTGTCATCAGGAGCACGACATCCTCATTAGGGAGGCTGCTCGGCCACAGAGAGCGGATTTGGGCTTCTTAACGAACGAGGATTTGTGCTTTAATTAGTCACGGCCCCACCACTTCAGCCCCGCAGCCGGAGGGGCTTGGCAGGGTGGGCACCACCCGGCTGAGTGGCCACAGCAGCCCGGGACCCCCTTCCCCACGCTGGGACCACTCCCCACCCACAGAGCAATGGGCACTGAGGGCAGGGACACCAAGGGCAGGGACACAAAGGGCAGGGGACAAACACAGGTCCTGTCCCCACTCCAGGTGCAGTCCCCAGTGCCAGCCCAGCCCGTTTTCCTGCAGTACCTGTGAACCACAGGAGCGTGCTGCCCTTCCCGAGGCTGTCAGCCACCTCCTTTATCCGTCCCACCAGCGCGTCCATCTCTGCCAGGGAGGCTCCGTAGATGCCCCTGCCCGGAGTGGGGGGCAGCGGGGGGACCAGCGGGACGTGCATGTGGGCCAGGGCCACGTAGAGGAAGAAGGGACGTCCACTGTCACTGCACAGGGGACAGAGGGAGAGTGTTCAGCCTCCAGGGGAAGGCAGTGCCAGGAGGTCATTGCGGTGGTGGCATTGCTGAGCCTGCAGACACAAGCCAGTGGCCCTTCCACTCCTTGGGGGAAAAACACCCCACCTACATCACCCAGCTCCAGGCACCCCTCTCCTTACAGAGAGGAACTTTGGCTGAGCCAAGCCACTTCTGCCCTGCTCCTGCTTAAACCTCTCCCCGCTGTCCCCGTTGTCAACTGTGCCCGTGTTTGGGGTGGATTTGCCCCTTCCTCTATCTCCAGCAGCCAAATGCTCCACGCTGCTGAACCCACACACCTCCCTCCCCTCTCTCAGGGGCCCATTTGGCCCCTTTGTCCCCCTCCCTGGCAAGTGATGCTGTGGGCAGAGGATGTGGCACATCGGGCCACCCAGGCCAGCGCGGGCACGGCCGGGCGCGTTCGCCGCCGCGCGCTGCCCGCCGCCGCGCGCTCCTCAACACCGCAGGACACGTCCTGTTTGCTTGTTTGCAGCTATATTTATCTGCTCCAACGAGGCCTGCTCTTCCTCAGGGACCTCGGAGGGGAAGGGTGGATGGCCAGCGGCGAGGAGGGGCCGGATCCCGGGGACGTGTCCCGGCCGGCGCACGCGCCCGGTCCCGCCGCCCCATCGCTGCCTGCTGGAAGCTCCCGAGTGCGTGTCGGCACTTCCTTCCTCTGCCCGCCGCCCACCTGGCGTGGAACATGAGTGAACCCCATCCTGCCCGGAGCTGCTGCATCCCCCACGGCGCCGGAGCCCCGCAAAGAGCTTCCTAAAAACCCCCGCCTGGACTTGCCTCAGCAACGGTGGCTTTAAAAACACCCGACCCTTTTGGAGGCCACCAGAAGAGCCTCAGTGCCTCCTCCAGAAGGAGACCAAGCTGTGGACACCCCAAATCCAAACCACAGGGAAACACCCATCTCCCCTGTGTCCTTTTGGCCCCCTCCCATCCCTGCAGGATGTGGGGATCAGGAGAGCTCATGTGCCCCTTCAAACTACTGCTGTGAGGCCTCTTCCCATGGGATGCCAGAGCCCCTGGAGCAGGGAAAGCTGCTTCCCCCGGCTCGTGGCTGTGATGCTCAGCTGAACATCCCTCTCATTTGCCGCACGGACAGCTCGGAATTGTCCTGAAGATGAGGCCAACGTTTAATCAATAACTGAAGACAGCAGTCCCTGACTTTTGCTCTCACGCTCGCTTGGGCTCGAGCAGTGCCACGTCTCACTGTCACAAATTGCTCAACCTTGACTGGTTAAAAAAACACTGAGATGGCAAATCCGGTGTTCTTTTGTTGCCCTGTAATGAATGAGTCAGGCAGGGGAAAACTGGAATAAGCCATCAAAGGGAAGGGAAGAAAAGGCAGGCACCTGCTTAATCCTGTTCTCCATGAACACAGATAACCCCAAAACACTTCTGGGAGTTTAAAGGTTTTTCCTATTAACCCAGAGCTTACACACTCGGTTTCACAGCCACAGAGCACACTGGCAGCTGGAGGGCTGGGGGTTTGGCAGGAGAAGGGGTTGCTGCTGCCCCACAGCCCAGAGCCTGGGTATCCTCAGCATCCCAAACGTGGCCAAGCCCAATTCCAAACCCACGGCCAATCCTTGGTACACAAAGGGACAAACTACAGGTTTTATGCAACAAAAGAGCGCCCGGTTTTATAAAGAGCCATTTCCCCATGTGCTGCTCCCTGCCCAGCCCTTCATCCACCTCTGTTACACAAACCTTACCCCAGGGACCCGCCTTCCCTGGGCCTGCGTTATCCCGGGGAGCAGGCAGGGGATGCGCTCAGACAGGGCTGCCCGGCAGCGCTTCCTCTCCTCACTCTGCAGGGAGGCATTTTGCAAAGTCACAGCTCGTAATCCGCCAATAATGGGGATTAAAATTACACAACCCGTCAGCAGGGCTCGGGGCCTCATTCCGAGGAGCCACTTTGCTCCTCGGGGACAAACACACCCGGGCACCTCCTGTGCTGCGAGGCTGGGGGAGGCAGATCCTGAAGCCCAGCGATCTCAGAGTGCTTTATCCTCAAAATGGATCCAATCTCACACGCAGGGCGAGTTCAAACACCTCTGGGTACTGTTCTGGTCCCACCCTGAGCACCACTCAGCGCCTGCTGACAGCCCCTGCCAGCACTTCACACCCATGGAGGCACCTCCACCACCCCACTGCCACCTCATCCGCAGGGATGCAGGGATGGATGGACCACGGCAGCTTTGCCTCCCTCCCATCCCCACCAGCCTTGACACCAGGCACAATCCCTCCAGGAAGGAGGCACAGCCCCACTCAAAGGCTTGGACTTTCCTCAGAAACGATGGTTTTAAAAACACCCAGCCCTTTTAGAGGACATCAGGAGAGCCTCAGCGCCTCCTCCAGCAGGAAGCCAAGCCATGGACACCCCAAATATGAACCATGGGGCAACACCCATCTCCCCTGGCATTGCACCAGCACAATGCAAAGGAGCCCTGCAGTGACCCAGGAGCTCTCCCAGCTAAGGGGACAGACGGGGGACAGTGGGTGGCCCTCACCTGGCCCTCTGGATGAAGCGCTCTGCCTCCTCCGCGTAGCGCCTGGCCAGGCTGCCCAGCTCCACGGGCTGCTGGACGATGGTGACGTTCTCGAAGAGAGGCAGGGCAACCTCTGTGTAGCAGTCCTTCCTCGCCACCCTGCTGGGCAGAGCCACCCCAGGCTTGTCACCAGAGCAGGCACAGAGCCTGGCTGCTCTCCTGGCCTCAGAAAGCCAGGGAGGGAGAACAAAGGGAGAGGCACCGATGTCCCCGTGGCACTGGGACATGCCACACGGGGGGAAACCGGCTACACAGAGCATGAGGGGAGGTGAGCACAGCCGAGGGCTGGGGACACGGCTGCCAACACCCACCTCCCCGTGCCAGCACTGGAACCCCGTGCCCCATACCTGGCAGCGGCGCTGTGCCGCGGGCAGGGCGGGCAGGGCGGCACGTTGTAGCCAGGGGTGTCCGTGCAGCCCATGTCGTGGCTGTAGGGGATCCCAAAGTAGTAGTCAAAGCCTGAGAAGCAAGCCAGGGGGTCAGCAGGGTCGGGGTGGCCAAAGGGCCCTCAGCCCGTCCCCCTGGCACAGCCCTTACCGCGGGAGCTGGGGTGATGGCAGCCGTGGTGTCCCAGGTGCCACTTGCCTGCGTGGAAGGCACAGAACATCATTTCAGAGGTGACACAGCTCTGACCACCAGCAGCCCTCACCCACAAGGTGCCCACAGCACTGGGGGCTTTAATCAAGCGACAAGAAAGGTTCCTTGTTTGTGCTGGCTGCCATTCCAGAATGCTGTCTATTTTTGCAGAAAACCCAGAAAAAATGCATAAGGTATCTAATACCTGTGCAAAGCGCTGGTTCCAGCCTTAAAAGGCTCTTTCATGTGTTTGTGTTCTGAGCAGACAGCTTCCTAACCCCTCCCTAAACCAGCTTCATCCTCTGACCTCCGGCATGCACTTGCTCCCACCGAACGCACCGATCCAAGAGGGAGAACTGCACAAACCAGGGGGGAATGGAGAAACAGAGGGATTTTCCGCCAGCACAACAGCAGGAGCTGCAGATGCAAAGGGTTTGTGCAGGCTGAGGGGACCCACAGTGACAGGGGGGTGCCCAAAGCCACCAGCACCGCCCGTGGTGCGGGATGCAGGACGGCAGAGCCAGCCCTGTTTGCTAAGGAGCACCCAGCACATCCCTCGGGAGGTAAAGCAACGAGAGATTAAATGGAGAAGTCTGGATTTCCAGCAGCACCATTGAAAAGGAAGATTTTAAGCTTGGCGTTGCAAAATCCAAGAGGGATGTGTGAAATCTCTCTCCCGTGATCCTTTAGGTTTCCCTTTCACTGCCAGCATTTCACCCAAGCACCTCCTCTGCACGGGCACCTCTGTCACCCCCTGCCACCTCCCCAGCTGCCCCTGGCAGCCTGGGCATTACCTATAGCCCCCGTGCTGTAGCCAGCCTCCCGCAGCACCTCGGCCAGGGTGGTCTCGTTGAGGGGGAGGCCCCCGAGCGAGGAGATGGCGAAGTTGTGGGTGACCCCACTGCGCACCCCCAGGCGCCCCGTCAGCAGCGAGGCGCGGGACGGGGAGCACGTGGAGGCAGCCGAGTGGAAATCCACGAACCTGCAAAATGAAAAGAGGCTCCAACTCACAACACCCCGCGGGCTCTGGCACTGCCCTGTCCCTCCCTGCTCCCCTGGACACTCTCCCTTTTGCTCTGGGGATGAGGAGTGGCAGATGAAGGTTCCAGCAGGGACAGATGGACCTGCACCCCAAAGCGCCAGGCTCTGGCTGCCCTCCTCATGCACCCAAACCCACACCAGCCAAATTCCCTCACCTGCCATCCTGCAGGGCTGAATTCCCCTGTGCTGCAGGACAGAGTATCCAGCATGCAGAGGGCAGGGAAGGGGGACAGACATTACCTTGTTCCTTCAGCAGCCAGCTGATCCAAACGCGGGGTCTCCTTCGTCTCTGCCCAGTTGGCGCCCAGATCCCCCCAGCCCACGTCATCGGCCAGGATGACGATGAAGTTGGGCTGCCTGCTCCCCACACAGGGAGCCCAGAGTCCCAGCAGCACCGGAGCGAGCACCAGCACTGCCCATGGGGACGGGGCTGGGGTCCCCATGGGGCCACACGCGGCAGCACCGGCAGTGTGCCCCAAACTGCCCCTCCTGTATCCCTGGGGATGGAGCTGAGCTTCCCACGGGCTCCGTCCCTTCCTCAGCCGGTGCCGTGGGGCCGGACGGGGCCGGGGTCTGGGTTTGCTCCCTTGGCTGCCGACCGAGCTGCGACACCTCCTCCGTCTTTCACACCCAGCACAGCCGATATTCCCGAAATCGGCGCCAGCAAAGGTGTTATTCTTAGAAGTCAAAAAACACCCTTTGAAGTCACTGTCACCCTATTTATATCTTTCCTTCCTTCCTGGTAAATATCTAATTAGACACCAAACCGAAGCGGGATTTTCCCCGGCAGGAGCGGGTTCGGTCCGCGGCAGCTCCTCTGCCTCGCCGCAGCCAGAGGGATGTTTGTGTCCAAAAATGGCTCCTTCCCTGCAGGCTGAGCCCCTCGGGCCTGCTGGGGCTCTGTCAGTCCATCCTTCACCTGGTTACAGCATCCCCTGTGCACGGGAAACAAAATAGTCAGGATGTGAGGAGTGCTCCTGCACCCCAGCCCGGGCCAGAACAGCTTCTCCAGACACCAGGGCAAACCAAACAGCTTCTCCAGACACCAGGGCTGTGCCTTTGAAGTTGTTCTGCTGCCTGGTTCACACTGGTTCAGCTGGAAAGGACTGGGAATTCAGAGTGCCCCTTTCCTGCACCCACTGCCCAGGCTGGGATGGTTCCATGTGCTCCTGCCATCCCCTGCCCCTGCCATCCCCTGCTCCCTCCTGCTTGCCAAGGGCTTTCTCCGAGTGCTGCAGGGGGCACAGCCCCACGAGGGGTTCATACAGGGCCCTGCTTTTGTTTGTGACAACTGACAAGTGTCTGAATCTTGTTGTCTGAATTTATTTCTGCTCTCGCTGCCCCACCGCTGCCAGAGCAGGGAGCACAACCCTCTGCCCCAGGGAGCTGCGCCAGAGGTAGGAGGCAGGAATCCATACAGAAGGCAAAAACCCCCAGGAACAGTGAGCATTAAGCACATCCAGCTGCCTAGGGCAGGGTTTGGCCTCCAGAGATGGAAAGGTTCAAGGACAAACCCTCCAAAGAGTGATGGCAGAGACGGAGCTGTGGCAGAGCTCCACGGAGCAGATGGAGCTGTGGAATACAATGTCTTGAACACAAAGTTATGGCCAAAGGGGGATGAAGCTGCAGAGATCTGCCAAAATCCTGCTGGGTCCTGCACCAGGAGCTCTGCACTGCTGTGGGCATCTGTGCCTGGGCTGGGGATGGCCAGGACCCAGCTGTCCCCAGTAGGCACCAGCAACCTTGGGGCAGGAATGAGGGATGCAGATCCACGGGATGGTCAACACAGCCAAGCAGGACAACTCCCATTAACACAGAGAGGGAGAGCAGAGAAGACAACACTGGGAAACAAAAGGGAAGAACAGGACAGGAGGAGGCAGGAGAGGGAATAGGATGAGCCCCATCTGTAGGCCAAGCAGTTTGCAGCTTGCAAAGTAAATTATTGCCAGGTTTTGCTGCTCACATCTTTAAAAGCTTTGGGCTGTCACTTGGATCAGCAGCTCCTGGGCTGTCAGCAGAGCAATGCAATGATCAGAGATGTGGCTCCATTCATAATTCATAGCCCAGAGTGTTAATTTATGAAGCCTGGAGGCTCTCAGTACATCAGCTAATGGGGGTGGGATGTGGTGGGTGGTGGGGCTGAGCCATGGGAGGGGGCTCAGCTGTGGGAGAGGCTGCTCAACCCTGCCCCAGCAAAGCCCACGGGCTAAGGTCCTGTTCTGCACCCTCCTGCATCCGCACAGCTCCAGCAATCCACATTAGGTCTCTGGACGTTTGATGGCAGCTAAATTGCCTTAACTTTAAAAACAAAAATGCCTTTGCAATTTCCTTGGATTTCTTCATGGATGAGGATTTGAAAGGAGCAGCTCTGCTTGAGTACAACACCCCTTGCCCAGGGGCTGAGCCCAACTGGGCCAAGGACAGCACAGAATTGAGCCACCAACTTCACAATGGTCAGGGAGACCTCAGCCCATCCCAGCCCCATCCCAGCCCCATCCTAACCCCATCCCAGTCCATCCTAACCCCATCCCAGCCCCTTCCCAGCCCCATCCCAGCCCCTTCCCAGCCCCATCCCAGCCCCTTCCCAGTCCATCCTAACCCCATCCCAGCCCCTTCCCAGCCCCATCCCAGCCCCTTCCCAGCCCCATCCCAGCCCCTTCCCAGTCCCCTGTCTGGGACTCTCCACAGTGCAGCAGGATATCACCCTGTGCTAGACCTGGGGTTTGGGGGAAAACAAAGCATCAAAAGCTGAGCTGATCTCCTCAGGCAGGTGGTGTTCAGGCTTTCTGGAAGACACACCACCTAATCCTGCCCTCTGGCACCTCTGCTAGCATCCAGCAGCTGCCAGCCCCTCCCAGGCTGAGCTGGTCTCTGTGCAAATCCCAGCCTCTCCAAACATCCCCCCAGCAGCACCATCCCAGACCCAGTCCTGCTCCTGAGGGCTGCCCTGCACCCCACAGTGCCCCAGGGACCCCCAGCTGCACCTGCAACCTCACAGAAACACCCAGCACACCTCAAAGCATCCCAACCCACAAGCCTCTGTCCCTTCCATTTAGGCTGGGGAGGGATGCCAGGATGACACAGCTAACAAAAACAATCCAAACAATTTTCAAAGGACACTCTCTCCTCCCTAAATTACAGGGAAAGTCTTCCAGGGCTCAAATTCATGCATTAGCATCAGACAAAACTTCTTGATCCCTGATGTTCAGAGGCCTTTTGAAGGCGAGGTGGAACACAGCCTGTGGAATGTCCACATCCAGACCACATCCATGAGGGTGAGGCCATCCCTTGGCATCAACTCCTCTGCACTCTGAGCCCTCTCTGACCCTTTTCAGCTCCAATTCCCAGCGAGTCCAGGCTGTGCACATCCCCCTGGAGAAGGTGGGAGCCCCCTGGGATCCCCAGGACTGCAGCACCTCTGCTGCCCTCCAGCTTTGCTGCAGCCAGACCCACCCAGAGCTGACCCACCAACTTGGAGCTCTTTTTGCAAAAATCAGAGTGACTCAGGAGAGATTGCCCAGGCACCTCGCCCTGTGCCAAGCAGGAAATACTGCACGGGTGGCTCCAGCTGGGCGAGCACCGGGCAGGAATCACTCGCAGCATCCCGGGATGAGCGGCCAGCAGCGTGCTCCTCAGCTGGACACGGCACAGCGGCGTCACAGCACGCAGCCTGGACCAGGGGAGCCCTGAACAAATAAATAACCTGCCTTCTGCAAGGCAGGCACGGCGCTCACAGGAGTCCAAACCTGATAAACCAGTTTAGAAAAGCCCCAAAGCCTCTCCAAGCAGGACTCCCCCAGGCTGGCCCCGATGTCTCTTTGGGATGTCACCGCTGGCAGTGCCACCACAGAGGGGTCACCCGCACTGTGCCGGCAGTATCTGTCATGTATTTATTACACATTAACCAGAAAGTTTACAAATCTTGGGGCCAGCATGATCATTTTCACATTTTTCACATTCTTTCACATTTTCACGCCTGCCTGGAGAGCAAAGCGGTGGCTGGAGCCCAGAAAAACCTGCCACACTTTGAAGCACACCCAGCTGTGCTGAGCTTCCCCCTGCCAGCTCCTGGGGCTCACAGCCCACCCGGGGGTCCCAGCTCTGATCTCCAGCCCAAACCCACCCAGCAGCCCTGCTGAAAGTCCCAGCAGGATCCCCACCTGGCCACGAGGAGCAGGGAGAAAAGGACACAGCAAAGAATGAGAAATTCAAACTGGACTAGGTACCTGCTGTTATCCAGGACCACTCCAGGAGCTCCCAGGGTCACCCCGTGTGCCAGCTGGGGTCAGGGAAACTGAGGCAGGCAAGCAGCTGTGTTGGCCCCACAGCTGCTGAGTGACGTGGGATGGGGACATATCCCCATGGTGAGGCTCTTGGTGCTGACCCCAGTGGGGGATGTCCAGCCACAGCCTGGAGGGGATGGATGGCAGGGCAGACACGCTTCCAGGGGGCAGAAAAAGAAATCCATGGGTTTTTTGCAGTTGAAGGATCCAGAGATTTTGATTTGAGCAGAGAAGGGCAGCAGGTGCCTGGTGAGGGGTCTGCCCATGGGGCAGAGGGGCAGGAGCTCTGTGTCTGCCCCCTCGGCCTCCCCAGTGCTGACATGTTTACCAGCAAAGCTCCATTCCCAGCACAACCGTCCTGACAATGCTCTGAACACAGTCAGGACTTCATTCCAGGAAAAAGGTTTTCTACTGGCATAGTTTATACTAGTTCTCCTCACAGAACAAGCAGCACCGACAAAAACATACTTCTGCAGATTTACCAGGATTTCTGCCAGCTCCTGGGACAGGAGAATGTTTTTCACCCATCTCACTGCTGGGTCTTTCAGAGAAAACATTTCACATGCCGAGCAGGGCTGGGCAAACCCCAGCAGAATAAATGAACTGGAAGTCCCTGAGCCGTCCAGGGGCCCGCGCTCCCCTGCTCTTCCCAGCCAGCTCCGGGCTGATTGATGCCCACAGACAGGAGGCTTGCTCTGCTTCCCTGAGGATTAGAGAGCCCTCAAACACCAGCCCTGCTCCCGGGCTGCTGGAGCACCCGGGATGATGGAGAGGCGAGACCCACGATGGATGTGCCAGGGAAAAGCATCCCAGCGAGGCACAGCCAAGCCAAGCAGCAGGGAAATTCCCCCAAAGTGGGCAAACAGTATGGGGGAAAAAGGGTTTTACAGTGGGGCTGGGAAGCTGTGGGTTGGAGACCCACCATCCCTGTCCCCCCACAGGGCCCCCGCAGCCCCCTTGGCTCCCCAAAGCCTTATTGCTCTTGGAAAGCCCAAAGGAAAGGAATGGGAAGGTGAGGCAGAGACAGATGCAAAGTGCTGACAAGAAATACCAAGGAGCAAATCTCGTTGGGTTTTTCATGCCAAAGATATTTGCATTCTTATTTCTCCCCTGGAGGCACAAACCTCTTTTGTTGTCCCACAACCACTTGCACTGTCGCTACTGGGGAAGAATTTCAGCACAGGGAGGGTGACCCATTCCCAAAGAAGAGTTTGTATAACGGGACATTGGCTCTGCAGGGACAGACAAAGGGTGGCCACCCTACATCTGTACCCCTAAAAGGCAGGGCATGGGTAAAGGACCCCCACCTCAAAGACTCCCTCAGAGAAAGGGGTTTTGCTGTGGGACAGGGAGATAGGAGGCTCTCAAGGACACACAG